CTAAATTTATCCGAAATAATAGGCTTTATGTTTCTTAAACTACATACATCTTTGAAAGTTCTTATGAATTTTCAAGCATATTCATCCAGTAGTTTTATTGTTGGAATGAAATATAGCAAGACTTGCATTGCCTACTAAGAAAGTTAGTAGCCGGTAATCATCGGGTTAATACCTGTTACAGATTAAGAAACTAGGTATAATTTTAAAAGTTATTGAATCCACCCATCCTGTTAGTGAGCAACCAGTTCATACACTTGGATCACTGTTTCAAGAAATTTAGGATTGATCTTTTGAGCCTTAAAAGCAATATAGAATGGAGCATCTTGATTTAAAGTATTTAAATGTATCAGGTACATAAAGCTTTTTCTTCTCTTCACATTAATATCTGGAATAAAATCTGTAAAGAGGTGGGTTTACAATCTATTGTACCAGTGCATGGATAAGTTCTTTCTTTCACTACTGATGGTGTTCTGTGTGGTAGAGTCTACAGCAAATTTCACTGCAGGAGAATTGTGTATAAAATACACAGAAGCCAATGATGGCCTCCCTCCTATTACATGCTTACGAATGACCATCAACCATGTGTGGACAACATTTATAGAGAACTTTTGAGGAACTTCATGTTGACTGGATGCTTTGTCTTAGCAAAGCCATATCTTATAGGCATAATAAAACATAGGTATTTCTCAATAGTATATTAGTGTCAGCATATTAGCCTGATATTTGGGAAATTTCTTGCTTCATTGGATATCTAACTTACTATTTTAACTATAAACTGCAACTGCTGTAAATACCTTTGAAAACGTTTTCAAAGAAGTTGACATATGATATGTATATTATCCCTGTATTCTTTGACTAAAATATTTATTATTCATTATATATTTTTTGTGTATGTTTGGAACAGTTGGCCTGTTGTTGTTTTTTATTATTTTCTCTTTTTATAAATGTTTAAGTATGTGCATATATACATGTATTTGTAAATTTCACTGTTTATGTGGATTTGTGAATACTCTTTTATTTATTTTTGGTCTATTTGAAAACTGTTATATTTTTCATATATTGAACATATCTATATAAACCTATACTTGTATGTATTGGCCTTAAAATGAAAATAACTTAATATAAATGTACAATGTTTTTAATGCTTATACTGTATAAATACCCTGTGGTTTTTGGATAATAAATTTTCCTGATTTTACAACATATGAAGTTTTCGTTTTTATTCATTATTATCAGCTACTCTTTGCTAATTCCCTTGAAATAGCCCCCACCCCCCCATGGCTTATAATGCTAAATATTGTTTTTTTTATATCCCTGGTGAGAAGTGCACAGATAGCCCATTGTGTAGCTTTGTCTTTGATCATGAACAAACAGTCCTTAAATGATAATTTCTTTTGTATAACATGTTACTGTAACTATTACAACTGTGGATGATTTATTCATACACTACATTCCTGTATCTTAATCATGTAAAAAAAAAGTAGAAAAATCTGTGATGTACATTGGAGTATAGACTGATTAGATAACTGGATAAAATATCACTATTGAAGTTTTACCTTGTTTGTGTTTTCCAATTCTTGGTTGAATTTGCTTTTCCAAAACAGTGAATGAATAATCTGTGTGTAGTAAAAGGTAGTTTAGTGTGTTATCTGTCCAAATTCAGAGCTCAATTTGCTTTTCATTTTCCCAACAAGTGATAGGATAAATTGTTAGTAGTAAGAAAGTTGTGTCATGTGTTTACATTCTGGTTTTATCTTTCTTCTTCCAAATAACAAATGGGGTAAAATGTTAGTGGTAGTACAGAGCTACTACAAGTAATTTTATAATTTTTAAATACAAAAACAAAAGAAATAATAATAATATAATTATGTTTATAAATTATATTTCTTTAAAGATGTTGCATGAGAATATACCTAAAATTAATCCCTTCTTTTTTGTATGAAGAACTGAAATCTCGACCATTTGATTTCTAGCCGAAACAGATGATTCTTCAGGAAGAAAAAATAATAAAAAAAATTTCAGAAAATATTACTGACTTGTAGTCCATAAATATTCGAAAGCGCTCAAGTTTTTGGTGGTGTTTGAAAACCATTACAAATTATCAGTAGTTATGGACAGAACATTATTGTTGTGGTTGCATGACATGTCTCTTAAAAACAGTTGAGATGTTTTTGTTTTAAGTCATACAAATTACATGTGTAATTTTACACACCTTAAGTTTAATCTTGAAGCAAGTACTATAGCTGTACATAATTTTAAAATATTTGTAATGTTTAAAACTACTAAGTTTCGGAACATAGTATGCAGATAAGCACTTTTTTTTTATATTAACCCATTTACTGCGGCTGGAACGTATATTTCCCAGTGCTCCCACCCCCTACACTGCGCCTGGGACAAATGTTTCCCATTGTCGATGCTGTTTACGCCTTCCTCTGCTGGGTCCAGGTTCATCATTTTCACTGTTATCACTAGATGGAGAGCTAGCATTTCCTCTTCATCATCATGCATTTGAACATCACTTGACTCACTTTCACTATCTTCTAAACTATCTGAGTCAAGCATATTTACACAGTAATTAGGGTTACTACTCGCCAATCTAACGATGCAGGCATGATCAGCACACAGTCGTTATACATTTCGCTTGGGCATCTTGTTGGTTACTGAAGGGCTGAGTGGAAAACATTGAGGGAAGCCATATATCAACATTAGGTGGGATGCCAATAAATACTTTCCATCTCATTTTACTCCCATACATCACGTGCAGCAATTTTGAATGACAATGGGAAACATTTGTCTCAGTTGCAGTGTGAGGGGTGGAAGCACTGGGAAATATACGTTCCAGCCGCAGTGAAATGGTTAATTCACTTCTTAAGATTAGCTTAGAATACTGATGATATGGGGTTTTTAAATCTAGATTAGTAAATATAAGTGATATAGTAAAGCAAATTATTTTTCTTTCAAAGTTGCATTTCTCTTATGCAACACTTACTGTGTGCTTTGGATATAAAATTGTATACAGGACATGCAATGTGGGCATTTGTTCTTATTTGCAGTATGTTAAGCCCTGTGCTAATTTGGAGAACTTCAAAGGAATTGTAAAGTTAAATCATGTTACTTACATGCTTTGATATTTTGTTAGTTACAGTGATTGTTTGAACAAGGTAGTTTGAACATATTCAATGAAAGTATATGTTTGATGTTAGTAACAGCACTAAGACAGTATAATGAATATGATTATGTTTCACATTACAACATAAGTTGCTTGGATAGATTCATATGAAATTTATATTCATAACCTTATCTGAAGTTTCTGAATAAAAATACATTTTTAGTTATTTTTGCATAAGCACAACTATTAGTTACTGTTTTTCTTAGATTAGACTCCAAACAAATTGTTTTGATATTGAGTATGATTGTATTTTCATCATTCTGAAAACTAACAAGAATGTGAATCAATATGTGGTCTGCATTTCACTTTTTCTACACAGTAATACTAATAAAGCAGTCTCCATGGAAACTAACGTATAAAACATGCTTGATAAATTTTATGTTCGTTTTGTGAAACTAAACTGTAGCACAAAAGCAATCATGTTCTCACCCTTCAGGAAAAGCCTCGTTAGAGGCTGAGAAATTGTGGCTTCATCAGGAGGCTGAACGGTGGGGGCTGAGAGTTAACTTGGAAGGTAAGATGTTCTCCCCACATCTGATTGCTTTCACTGTAGTTTCTCTTGTATTTCACTACTTTAGACCTCTGTTTCTGCTGTCTGTCATTTCTCATTTATTCGCATGAATCAAAGGCATGCTACGTTTGCTGTAGAACCAATGTGGTACTTGTAGATGGCAAAAGAAAATCATTAAAACAACAATATATATTTAGTACTTGTAGAATGTAGCAGGAAAGTATTAGTAGGATGAAAGATTGCTTTATTTTTGTTTTATGCATTTTAGAACGGAAAACAGAAGTTAGCCGAAAAAATTTAGTTATCAGTTATACCATACAAAAGGTATCCAAAAAACTGTGCTACTGCCTGATTGCAGTTGTTTCATTATATGTAAAAAATTAGTTCACTAGATCATTAGTTTTGGAGAAATGTGTAAACCCTAATAATGTCATATAACAATTTCTAATTTTTTTTCTTGTTTATAAACCAGTGATACCATTGCATATTTACATTCTTAATGTTCTTGGATAGATTCGTGTTGTTTATATGTATGTTTTTTCCTTTTAAAATATATTCTTAACTTAAAGATAAAAGTTTGTTCCGATCTAGAACATAACATTATGTTAAATTAAAGACTAAATGTTGGTGTAACATGTTCTAAATAATGTAACCAAATTTGTAGCAAATGCTCAGACTACTATTATAACTTCAACAGGTTCATCTCAGTGTTTCAAGTTTTGTATGTGTGATGCAACATTCATTGATATTCTCAGTGAACTTCAAAACATCATACATATTTTAAGTTTTCAAAAATTCTGGTTTATTTTTAAAAGCATATTACATAAATCAAAAATGTACTGCTAGTTCTGGATCAAATACTTTTTGATTAATTTTTAAAGGTTTTTTTAGGTGTAATTATATAATCAACTCTTCATCAGAGGTATACTTAAGTTTAGATGGTATTTCAGCTCTTTGTGAATTCATTATCCTTATTTTTCTTTAAATGAATTTATCAAATGTTATTAAAACATGATATGAAAACGTTTGTGACATGAGATAGTTGCATTAATTGTCTGATGTTCAAAAACCCATATGAAACTATAACAACCAGGAGAAATTGTCTATTACATTAAAAAGTTATATTTCATTACAAAAAACATTTTCCTTAGCAAAGACCAACACCAAAATCGTTGGTTAACTGTAATGATGAACAAGGAACTATTTCAAATTGCATGATGATGGTATACCACTGAACAAAGTGACATTCATTTCTTCATCAGGTTTCACTTTACATGTATTTAAACTTATCGTACAACTTTACAAAGTATTATATACTTCTCTAACTTAAACCAAATATAGGTAGTTTATTGACTAAATTTAGCTTATTTCCTTTATTGCCCTACTAATTAGTAGGGTAGAATGACAAGTAGAGATGAAATGATAAGATGTGTATTTACTGACTCAATTTCAAAGGTTAATTCAGATAGTATACTACATATACACATTTACTTCATATTGATAGTTGGTTATAATTAACAAATGTCTGTAATGACTCAGGTACTATCTTAACCAATATGGAGTATTGAGAATGTCACCCAATAAGTAAGATTCATAATAACGACTATTACTGTATCAACTGATATGGAGAGTTGAGAATGACACTCAGTATGTCAGGTTCATAATAGTGACTTTCTTATCATATCAACCAATATGGATAGTTGAGAATGACACTCAGTATGTCAGGTTCATAATAGTGACTTTCTTATCATATCAACCAATATGGATAGTTGAGAATGACACTCAGTATGTCAGGTTCATAATAGTGACTTTCTTATCATATCAACCAATATGGAGATTTGAGAATGACACTCAGTATGTCAGGTTCATAATAGTGACTTTCTTATCATATCAACCAATATGGAGAGTTGTAGA